TTACTCATATTGTTGTTGGTATTAGTTGGTAGGTGTAAAAAAAAAAACAAAAAAAAAAACACAAAAATAATGTGCAAGATGGGGTAAACCTAATTCAGTTTAGGTTTTTTATGATGATACTTCATTTGCACTTTTTTAATATTTCATGCAAATCTTAAATGTTTTTTGTTTTTTTTTGTAGCTGGTGCCCAAACTAACACGGAACTTTATGAAAGAAGGCTTCATGGAGAAAACCGGCCCAAAGGTTTGTATTGAACCCAAAGTAAAACTGAAAGGAAATCAATAATTTATATTCAAGACAGTGTTTCAAGGCTGCTTTGGGTCCACTTCTCCTTTGTGTATATGTGTGTGTGTGTGTGTGTGTGTGTGTGTGTGTGTGTGTGTGTGTATATATATATATATATATATATATATATATATATATATATATATACACACACACACACACCCCCCCATTGGACAGATCAATAATACATTTTAGAATATTTTTTTTATCGTGAGAGAACTTTCTGAATTACTGAAGCACCTCAAAGAAAAACTGCCTAGAACATAACTCCCTTCAGCTGAACTCTAGGAGAACCAAGCTTCTAATCATCAACCTGGAGAGCATGGCTCCTCTGATCAGATGGATAAAGTTCCTCATCGAGCCAAATCCAAGAATTTTACATGTTGTTTTCGCCCAACCAATGTCCCTTGAAGGTCCCTCAAAACAAGTAGTCCAAAACTTTTCTTTTTGGATCATTTGAGAAATAGTTCATGTCAAAGCAGGAACTTGAAATGCTAATTATTTTCCTTGTTAATTTACTTCCTAATTTATCTACTCATTACCTTTCCCTTCTTTACTTCTGCCAAGCATTGTTGAAACCACTATTTTCTATGTTGAGTGCAAACTGCAGTTCAAAAATGATTTTTCCCTCTTTGTAATTTCTCTGTCTCGCTCTGCTGCAGCACACGGAAGGCTTTAAGAAGAGGTGGTTCACCATGGACGACCGGCGGCTCATGTACTTCAAAGACCCTCTGGTGAGAAAAGACCAGATTCCGTCCAGGTCCTCTAGAGGCCTGACATGTTTGACTAACGGGACCCTCTCTGTTCCCCCACCCCCTCCCAGGACGCCTACGCCCGGGGCGAAGTGTTCATTGGCAGCAAGGAGAACAGCTACACCGTCCTGGCCGGCTTGCCCCCGTCCACGCAGGGCTACCACTGGAACCACGGCATCACCATCGTCACACCCGACAGGAAGTTCCTCTTTGCCTGCGAGACAGAGGCCGAGCAGCGCGACTGGATCGCGGCTTTCCAGAGAGTCATCAATCGACCAATGAGGCCACAGGAATACGCAGGTTGTTATTTGGAATGTTGGACAGGTGCAGATAGGAATGCGGACCGAAACTGATTTTGATTGATTACCCCATCAAGTCCATCTACAGTGACACATTGTTCCATTTTCTGTGGTTGCATATTTTTTTTCCTTCATATTTCTTTAGTTAATTGTAGGTTTTTGCTTGTTTTTTTTCTGTGATTGCAGCATTTTTTGTTTGCATCGTTTTTGTGTATTTAGAAGTTTACGTCCGTCATGTATTAGTTTGTACCTCTCGGTCGCCATAACATTCACACTGAGGAAGGCTGCATGTGCATCGGTTTGTGTCCGTACCTAATTTCCGTTTCCTTCATTGTTTGTTTCAGTGGAGGCCCATTTTAAACACAAGCCTTGAAGCCTACAGCAAGTCCAAAGTCATCTGGACCAGCCCAGTCAGAGAGATGAGAGACAGCCCCCCCACCCCGCACCGCACAACAAGTGGGGAGGCATTGGGGACCGGTCTGGGTAAGGAGGAGGTTTTTGGAATGGGCCGATTAAAAAAGAAAAGGAGAACAGAAGGACTCCAGTCTATGTTAAAGACAATGGTTGGTATGATCTAAGGTGGAAGGGTAGAGATGATGTCTTTTAATACTGCTCTTACCAACTTTGTGCTGTACATTGTCATACCAGACCCCACTCCCTCTCCCTCTTCTCCTGCCCCTCAGCCATGTGGACCTCTCATCTGCATCAAGCTACCCTTACACCCCTGGATTTCATCTTGTGAATGGTTCTTTCTGCCTGTGATCTAATGTAGCTATGTAACCTAGAGTCATGTCACTGGTCGCGTAATGAAGACGAACACGTTGTTAATTTATTGAATGTACAGTTTTCGACCACAGTGTCTTAATCGTGCGTGTGGAATCGTCATGTTTTCATTGAGGACTCTTGCGAGGTCCAACCTCTGGCACTGAAACCCTGGGAAACCTGAATTCTACAAAGTGCTGTTAACAACAACCATGCCTACAAACAAAACTTGCACACAAACGCTCAGTGAACACCACCTGCTGTTAACGACGGTGGAGCAGGCTGATCCTCCACGTCCAACCAGGGTCCCTTTTAGAAAACCTCCACCCCAAACAGAAGCTGCGCCCTTATTTATTTGTACTGTCGAACATACCATGTCATCGTGGGATGCTAATTTTTTGCTGCTTTCTTGGATTGTAATGTGACGGGATTGTAATTTGTAGAACACTTCTACAAATGTTCAATTTGTTCTTTGTATCTTGATTCAAAGGCACACTGTTTTGTTGATTCTTGCATCGTTGTGGGAAATAAATTTGAAAAAATGAAAACAGAGGAACCAGAGACAAGGTTATAATATTTATATGTTCTGTGTCTCATTTGTTGTTTGTATGGTGGCCCAGAAGGGACAACAACATGCAAAAGTCCCAACGGAAGTTATGCTAGCAAGTTTAGCATAGCTTCCTTTGTGGTTTCCTTTTACTGACCCTTGTGGGTCACCGCATATTTGACAGTAGAAGTGTGTGACACTGCATATTTTGATATCGATAACATACAAAGTAAATACACTGCCGGTATTGCCAAAACTGATACAAATAATTTAATTTTGACACATCGCCAGCTTTTAGGTGTTAAAGAATTTTGTTAAAACTATTGGAATCAACTGGAACGCTCTCCATAGTCGAATTCCACAGATTTAAGATTCGGAAGGCGTATTTCTTGTTTCAATATGGTCACTCCGCATAATTAGCTGTGGTGATGACAGGTTTACAAGACATACGAGTCTAAAATCATTGTTACATGTAGCGCCTGAAACTGGTGATTGCTCGTGGAAAGTAAAACTTAAAATGAGGTTTGTAATAGGTACTGCAAACGATGTTTACTGGCGTCGCCATGTTAAAATCCCGACTTCTTAACTATAATGCCGTTACCTCGGGTCTGACGTCAAACCCAGCTCCCATGACCAGTTCCGTATGGTTTCTCTATGTCGTTGGTTCTAACTTCCGGAATAAATAGAAGGCAGCATCACACTCACGAAGGCTGTGTCCTTCAAAGAACCGCGCCTATCACAATCACAGTACCCATTTCAGCAGTTAAAATTCACCTTTTATTCAGGTATTAGTATTTTGAGAAACGATACCAAGGACATTCTAAATGTTAGGTTAATGCCTAATTTGTCCAGCAGATGGCGCCATTAGACTGTGTACGCAGTTACTCCTCCCATGTTAGAATTACATTTTTATCCTTTATCCTGCTTACACTGTGTTTAACATATGCCTCATTTCCACTAAGAGGTACAGAATGGGTTGGTGTGGTTTGGTATGCTATTTTGTATGTTTCGATTGTAAAAGTGACCCATAAAACCGAACCATACCACACCATTCCTGGACCCACTTGAGTAGTAGGTCTATAGGACAATGGAATGGTAAAAATGTCACTGTGTGTGACAAGAACAAGATACACTAGTGCTCATGTTTGTTGTCACAATAGTATGAAGAAATGTTAGCAGGTCAGGCTTAACCCTGTCTCACCAACGAGAGTCCAACTGGCAGTGGAAATGCTTTCCTGAGTACATTGGACCATAAAACAGTGTGTCAAACAGCATCAACCTGTGCTGTACTGCTCAGTGGAAACGAGGCAATAGAGGGACACCCACTCTCCACGAGTGTGATAACAAAAAGCAATAACTCAAAGCAAGTGAAAGATATCTATTTTGCAGCTGAGAGCCCTTGATAGATAATTACCTTGGGCAGTGAGGCATAATACCCATCACTAACTCTAACTCTTTTCTCATCAACAGCTATTTGGTCGAAAACTGTCACTGGCAAATTTATGGGTCTCAAGTTGCAAAGACCCGTCATCTCATAGTGTGAAATCTACTAGACTGCGGTCAATGTTCTCCTTTAAAAGTCATGATGATTTGGACGTTTTCTAATAGAAAGAAAAGTGGGCTAAATGACTGCCAGTGTACCTGCCACCTGATGATCTCCCTCTCTGAGACAACCTTCCACAGGATTCCAGCCATTGCAAATATAAATTTGTCAATGCGTCTTCTGTCTGGCTGTGCTGTTGTTGTTGGCTGCCAGGTTCTCATGGTAAACTGCTGAGACAGAGAGCCAGTGAGCTGTACGTGCCAGGCAACAGGAAGAGTTTAAAATCGGGTGGGACCTTTGGCTCAGCAGACCCCAAATGTTCATACTGAAAGTAATACGTCCAGTCGGTCATTGGAACACGGAACAAACATCTGTTACCAGGCAGATGAACCTTGGTGTAAGAGTATGGAACCAAAAAGGGGACATAGACTGTCTTATTTTAAACAAATGCAAAAAACGGTACTTGACCAAAGAGACCAAAATCTGAAAACATAATCAAACATTTTTTTCTATCCACATAAACATTATTAGTCTCCAATTGGGGAAATTGCTCAATCTAAACAGCTCCATTTAAATCTTATAAGAAATTCTAAGCAAATTGTTTTTTTTTAGTGCTTTTATTTGTTGGCCCTAGTTGTAAACAGATCCTCTGAGCTAAAGTCTACTGTGTCTGCACACCATACAAAATGCACTACAAAACGTCTTGTATCAATAATATCTGATTAAAGCCTTTGGATGCATAATTGTTACCTACGAAATGTTATTCTTATGTAAAGTGACACTAGAATACTTTGCAATAAGGCACACCCTCTACAATCAATCAGAACCATTTTATTCAGCTGAGGTCCCACATTAGATAAATCATCTCACAAATTGTACAAGTTTCAAAAAAATAAATTCTCAGATTTTTTTCGTGCAAACTGGAAAACTTGTAAGCAATAACCAAGGCACAGAAGACAAGAGCAATTAAGAGATTCATTTGATTAAAAAATATATATACCATGAGATTACAGCAGGCTCACAGAGACTCTTGTTGGACTGTCGCCAGGCAGCTTGTTGATTCAAACTTGCTTTGAGTTTGAATGTTTTCACAATGGCAGGTTGAGTTCCTCTGCATTGGTTTCTTTCTAGAGTCCAAAGCATTCATGGTAGATTACCTGGACACTTAATATACCTATAATAAATTTAAAAAATACCTGCAGAGAGGTCAACTTGTACTGAATGTTTCACTATTAGAGATGCAGGAATTATTGGGAGCCATGTCATCAAAGGTTCCCAACTTGCTCAAGTACGTTTAAGAAACTGTCCTAAACTACTGCTACCTGGACTGGGTTAAACTCTTCATTTGTTATCCCCATTTTGTACCCACACTATGCTGTTTCGTTGCTTCCTGTCTCAGTTTTATAACCCACAAACAAAGTTGGTGTCCATCAGGGGTAGAAGGCTCGAGCCCGGTCTCAGCCTGTTTTTTCCTGGCCTTGAGCTCAGTCTTAGATTGTTATGTCTTAGTCTTGGTCTCAGAAGACCTGCTCTTGCTCTTGCTCTTGGTCTTGGAGAGTGCGGTCTTGGTCTAGCAAGAACCAGTCCTGACTTCATGCTTGGTACCCATGTACTTAAACAATGGCATAGCAACATTTTCTGAGATATTTTCATTGTACATTGTACAGTACTTAGGACCACCTATTTGTATGTATTTTACTTTTAAACTCCATTTCAACCAGTTGACTCTTATCAAATATGACAGATTATGACTATTGATAAATTTATATAACTATGAGCTACTTCCATTTGGCAGATATTATTTATTAGAATGACATCATCACATTGCCAATGCCGAACCCTGGTGCATAGTGGGTAGTGGCAGATGTCTTGATTGTAAGGATTTTTTAAGGTTCAGCTAACTACAAAGGTATGGAATGCCAAATGAATTTGAGTTTGGAGAATTTTATTAATTTACCCTTTCAAGACATCCAATTTCAAACATATTTCTAAGTTCTTGTCAGTCTTCAGATTTTTTCTGCATGACAACAAAGGCCTGTGATGTTTTTCACATCACGGAAAACAGATGAGATTTTGTTTACTGTCTGTGAGCTGCGGTTGAGTCTGAAGGCAGACTTCAGTCCCTGTCAAGGCCTGGAGAGAGACGCGTAGACGGGCTGCTCCCAGACAGAGGGAGGACTGCGTGGAGGCGGCGCCAAGGCCAGGCTGTTGATGAGCGGAGCGGCATAAGACCTGCGAGATGAGTGAAGGTACGGATACTGGTACAGGCCGGCAGGGTAACCTGAAAACGCGCCAAAGAGGCTGGCGTTCTGAAGGTCAGTGTAGTCCGGCGGGTTAGGAGGAGACACAGAGGTGGAGGAACTAAGAGAGGTGTACTGAGGTTGGTGCGAGGGCGGAGGAGGTGAAGTAGAAGAGGAAGGTGACGAGCTGCAATGGCTCGGGCTCATCTGCTCCATTTTGATCTGAGGTTTTTGGCCAGTGTCTTCCTGTGGTACCTCCGCCGATGTCCCTTCAGGTGTTTTGAGGATACAGTTGACTGAGCTGTTGGAGTGAGCTTGGGCACTTTGGGGGATGTATGATCCATTCAGGCTGCTGGGTTCCATCTGGGCTGGAAGAATTGTGATGTGGCTGTTTGGGGGAAGGTACTGGTCCAGCTCGTGCACATCAAAGCCATCCATGGTGCCGATGACCTCGGTGCTAAGCTCTGAAATGTCCACGTTGCTGAAGTCGATGTTTCGGTTGGAATGGATAGCGGTGCTACTGTCAACAGGACGATGGGCATCATGCTTGTTCCCAGCATGCAGCTCAGTTTTAGGGGTTGTCGGGGGTGTTGGAGGACCATGAGGTTGACCTAAAGACAGACAAAAAACATTCAGTTTTTTTCACTTTACATAAAAGATTGCAATTGCTGAGATTTTGTAATCTCGTCACCTGGTCTGTCTGGATTGTAATTCTTGGGTGCCTCTCCTTTACCACCTAGCCGGGTCAACCCAGCTTCCGTCTTATAAAAGCCCTGCTGGGGCTGGTGTTGTGGTCTTTGGTCCCCTTGGCCTGGTTTAGCACTTTTGCGTCTTCGAGGTTGGTATTTGTAGTCTGGATAGTCTCTCTTGTGTTGCAGTCTCAGCTTTTCAGCCTCCTCAACAAATGGCCGCCTTTCTGTTTCAGAGAGAAGTCTGAAACAAAAGACAGGAAGAAGTGACTGAACAGAGGCATTCTCTCTTCAAAGCAGGCTAAGCATTATCTCTTATTTAGGAAAGGCAAAGACGGGTATTAGCATTACTGTTTGTGATTTAAAAGTTGGAGCATTTTCCCATCATACCGTTTGAATGGTTTAAATCCTTTAACCGAGGTGCTAAGAAAAAACTCCAAAGTGTTCATGTTTTGTTTTTTTGTTTTTCATCTGTATGGAGCATTAAGTAGTCCTGCGCAACCCCCAACTGACTTATTGCTATGCATTGCTAGTTAGCGGTTTGATATAAAGTTAGTGCATTGTTTCCTAACTTAAAACAAACATCTTGGAGCAACACCAATATATCTTATCAGGCTAACATTATAGCCTGATATCAAGCTAACATTATAACCTGATAATGTTGGCAACGAGCGTCTACCACAGTAACCTTACTAATTAACTCCAGGTTAATCCATTTGCCTTGATTTATATTAAAAAAAAAAACACTGAAAGACTGTGACTCGAAAAGAGCAGAATATTAAAATTTGTGAGTAGTTGTAAAATGTTCCACATATAATGGTTAGTGAATGTTGTCACTCCTTAGTGGTTGGTGTGAAAAGAGAGTCTTTCACTTGTAATAGTGCTTTTATTTCCGCAAAACTTATGTTACATATTTTTAAGCTTAAAAAAGCTTAAAAACAGAGACTGAAACATTAGATGTGGGTTATTTTTCGATTGAAACCTTATAGTTAAATTCTGACATTAAGATATAAATGACACACAACCTTTTGATGGAATGACCTCACAGAAATCATGTGCTCATATATGTAATCGGTTTTTAATATGTGGAAAACAGACTATTGAAAGAAGCGGGTTTTGTTTTTAACATTGCTTTAGTTTTATCTCAGACATATTGTGATGTTTTAAATAGGGACAACATTATTTATGTAAATATGGATCAGCTGCTGTGTAAAATACAGTTCAATACAAATGTCACAACAATTCAAAGGCCCATAAAATGGCATTTGCAAAAAGATGTTTTTTATTTTAGGTGGTAGATATCCACTTCTGTCTTGGATCTCCATGATTGTGTCTTCCTGTTGGCTTCAACCACTGGGTGTAACTAATCTAAATTAATGAAAAATTAAGGAACCAGGAAGGTAATAAATTAAATTTAATTCGATATTAACGGACTATAATCTTTAAAAACAACCTCACTTCAAAAATTCTAATCTCACTTTTCTCATTTTTCAAGTAGTGAGCCTCACTCATTAGGCTCAACCCTACAATGTAAAATTTCAAATTTTCAATTTTCAAATTCCAAAAATCTCCATCATATCTATGTCTATTTTCAAGAATAACTTTCTGTGGACATTTTGGGCACTTCTTGTCTGTTGTGTTTTGCTGTACTGTCGATCTTACCCTCCTTATATTTTTGCTCTCTCTATAAAATCAGCCACTCACCTCCAGAGTTTGCCCAGCGTCTTGCTCAGCTCCGCGTTGTGGAGGTGCGGGTACTGGTCCGCCAGTTTCCTCCGCGCCGCCTGCGCCCACACCATGAAGGCGTTCATCGGCCTCTTCACGTGCGGTTTGTTCTTCAGACTCCTCTCCCCCTGACTCGGCACGGGCACCAGCGACCAGTCGTACCCTTTCAGCACCTGCGACACCGCGTCTCGGATGCAGGCGGGGAACCGCTCGTCCCCCGGGGAGCTCTCCGCTCCAGCGAGCGGACGCGCCACCGCCAGCGCGTCAGATACGACGGGAGAGTTCCCGACCTCCCGGTCCAGTTCGTGCCGGGGCGTAGAGCCGCCGCTGCTCTGTGGACTGCACGGATCCTCAGTAAGTATGCTGTGCGCTTCAGCCATAGTTTGCAACTTGGCTTATTTTAGCGTTTCCAAAGTTCGCGGAAAGCTCTCCAAATGCGAAAAAGCGCGCGGTTATGACTGGATCGCCACGAAAACAAATGAAGTTCCCTCACTGGAGAGATCTGGCACGAGGCTGCCATCCCCCTTCACATTTACCCCAATGTATGACAACTTTGACAAGCTCATCGAAAAGTAAACGCTGCAATCTCTCCACCTCCATCCGCTATTGGCTTGCACAAAAAAAAAAGAAAAAAAAGGGGACCTCCTTCCCCAATTAATTGGAAAAACAACGTCAGACACAGAATTCCAAGTTTAGAAAGTCTGCAATTTTGAAAACTGTTAAGTAATAATAATAATAATAATAATAATAATAATAATAATAATAATAACTGCAGTCAACTTGGACTCTTATTCTCTCTAACCTTAAATATTTACTTTGCCTGAAGATGTAAGTCTTTCTATAGAGGCCCAAACGTGCCTCAAAATAAGTTTGGACCTTCAGATTTCGAGACACAACATGCATTAGGACTTATATATCACTAATAATATTTTTCTAAATAAGTACAAATGGACATTTTGTAAAATATGTGATAGTAATTATTATTATAAAAACATTTCTGTCACACTTTTTTCTTCCACTGAACTTTACCTTGTTTGCTTTGGGATACAGAACTCTCTAAATAATGAGCTTCTTTAGCGGTGAACCTTAGTTGCTTACTCTCCTTGAGGAAGGTGTCAATGGCTGTCTGCTGGAAAACTGTCAAGTTGGGAGTTTTACCCACCAAAACTCTTTGTGGTGCACTGCAGCAGCAAAGGAACCATAAGTGAATAGCACTGACATAATTATGAAATATAGATTTAGCAATATAATTCCTGAATATCACACTTACAGTCGTATTTTATACACAACCTGTCTAAATAACTTGTGACACTTTTAGTAGTCGGCGTACTTCAAAAATTTTTAAAAACAACCTTTTGTAATGATCTGCTACCTGAGATCTGCTACGATCTCTGTATATCCTGCTATAATAATGACATATAAACACACAACTTAAAAGAATAAATGATTGTGTATTTTTCAAAATCAGTTTTCTTTTTTTTTTATTTTACAAATTTCTTATTGTTCCTTTTTTTCTTTATTTAAAATATTAAGGTAATTTTTTTATTGGCTTTATCATTACATAGGTCTTTGTTAATTGTCTTATTATTATTTTTGTTTTTATGGTTTACCTGTCCAAATAATTTATATTATATTTACATGTTTGAGGATAATGTTATTTATTTGTTTATTTGTTTATTTATACTACTACTACTACTACTACTACTAATAATAATAATAATAATAATAATAATAATAATAATAATAATAAAATTTGTCTTATATCATATATTTTTCAGAAAAAATAAACCTTTTTTTATTCACTTCCGGATATGTTTTTGTCACGTGACGGAGAGCTCCGTAAACATGGCGACCAGCGCTGCAGCTACAGAGAGCTCCGTGAGGAAGAGGCGCGTGGACAGCAGGAGGACGGAGAAGGAGAGAGTCCCTGGCGGCTCTTTAGACGGAACTGCCACCAATGGAGACTCGGAGAAAAAGAAGCAGTTTGTGTCCTTACAACCCGGAACTTACTGGCTCACTCGTATTGTGCTGCTGCGCTCAGTCGCTTTCATTTACTGTGAGTTTCTCTGACTTCTCCAGAAGAACCGAACCGTGTTCGCTGTTTCACTGCTTCCTTTTCCAACCCAAAATTGCTCAATAAATTTCTTCAAACTATTAGAACCACGAGCGCTGTAGTTTTAAAGCCTACTGTATTCTGCCCTCAATATCACAGCTGTCAGCATCTGTGTTGACTATGAACCGTGATTACTCCGCAGTTAATGTGTGCGGGTTGTAACATTGTCATACATTGTTATTGTGGTTGTGTTGCTAATGGTGAATCTTAATTCATACGTTACAGTTTTGGCAGCAACATTAGTGTTTTCTATTGTAGCCTACATATTGCAGGGTCATTGTACTTAAGGACAGTCAATATTGCTTTTAGAGAGATCTACTGTGTATTAGCTTAGATAAAAAAGCATTTCTGCTCTGGAACAAAATCGATCAGCTAACTTAATGTTAGTGCAGTCATATCATCCCCTCAGGTGAAATTATGAAACTCCAGCTTGAATGAATAGATTGATTGTGAAAAAGCATGAGCACGTGCTTGGGTTGGAGATGGGTCAAAACTGCAAATATTGACTCTACACACAAAAAAACATTAATGCTAAAGTTTTCTTTTTCATTCTAGTTGTGGCCTTTACAGTTGCCTACAACCAGAACAAACAGCTGATTGGAGAGAATGGGCTAATGCCTTGCAAGAACTACCTGAACAGCGTCAAGCGCTATGTCGGAGGAAAGATCGGCACGTCAGCCCTGGCATACACACCTTCCATCCTCTGGTTCTTGGACTGGACCAGCATGGACGCCAACCTGGACTGCATTGCCTTGCTTGGGATGGCGTTGTCAGGGTTCGTCCTGGTGACAGGGATGGCCAATATGGTGATCATGGTGACTCTGTGGGTGCTTTACCACTCCTTGGTCAACGTGGGACAGCTGTGGTGAGTGTATACACACACACGGCGGAGCCTTTATTAGCTGAAAGTAGCTAATAGACTTGACTGTAAATGAGACGGGGGTGTGATTAAGTCTGCTGGACTTGAACCACATTGAAGTACTGCTGCCAAAAGTGGGTAAGCTTTGCACTGGTGGCAGCAGGATTGTGTCTACAGATAAGTGTAGGGTTGCTTCTTGTAATCTATTTAATTAAATGTCTTTGGTTTGTTTTAGAAGCCTGCTTTGTTGAGGTTTATGGTTTACTTCATCTACCATTTAAAATGGGATATGATTTAGTGCCATCTAGTGGCAAAACTGCAGATGACATCCAACTAAGTGTGGTCCAGTTCCTCCTCCTGATGCTACAGTTGTGACTCATCTAATCAGGTGTAGAACATATGTATGTGTAGGAGGAAGTAAGGACACAAACAGAATTACACTAATAGAAACAGCAGTTGTGATGATGTAAGGTGTTTTGTCAATGTAAACCTCATTGGCTAACTGTGTATTCATCATGCCATGGCCTCCATAGGAACAATAAAAATACATTTGGTTATTTCAACACGTGTTAAATTTTTACGCATTTTTCAAAAATGAGAGCAAATTCTTATATTCGTTTGTATTTTGTCTTTCTAGGTACTCCTTTGGTAAGTGAACATCGTACTAGCTCGACCAGGGCTTCCTTTGTTTTTCCTTCTCCAAAAGAAGACGTGGATTGGAAGCATGAGAAGGAAGGTCCTGATATAATTTTGACCTTCTTCTCTCAGATTTGCCACCATCTAAATAACATAATGCCAAAAATGTGCATACCTAAAAAAAAACTTCCTTTTAAATACTGATACATTAATAATACTTGTTCTGCCTTTTTTCATGTATCTCTTAAACTGCTTCATATTTTCTCAAACCTACCAAATATTCAGTCCCCTTTTAGAAGTTTAAATCTTTAAATAGCAATTCACTTGTTTCCGTTTTAAATTATTATATTATTTATTGCAAAAAAAAACAACAACAAAAAAACAGAGATTTATTTCATGTACTGTACTGCGTAACTTTAAAGCTCTCTTCCCCTTATGGAGCCATATGAGACCAGAAAAAAGGACTTGATGTCTGATGTAATAGCAGGTTTTAAAATGTGGATATTTTTAGTGCGAAGGTGTTTAGAAGATACAAAATCCATCACTTAAAATGCTTGTAAAACGTTGGATTTCAAAAAATTGAAAAAGATAGAAAGAAAAGTTAAACAAACCAAATGATTATAGAGGGAAAAATAAATATATATATTTTTAAATGAACAAAAATCGCCTTGTGGGTATAGGGGCTAAATCATTATGTTTTTGTAAGCTAACTGCTATTGGAAGCAGATCTTATTCAATAATTATCACCTTGTTTCATTAAATTTGTAGTTGCGTTCAGCATTTTTTTTTCTTTCCTTCTTTTTTTTATTTCGTAAAAATCTTGCACCCAATTTCTTACAAATTTCTTACAAACAGCTGATTTAATGCTAAACTGAGGAGAATATACTTGCTAAGGCTACGTGTGTTTCAGTTAACCGTGTCTCTCCATGGTAGAAATTCATGCTAGTATTTTGTAGCAAAAACAAAGGCAACAATTCAACAGTTGTGTTCAATTTTCAATGGAAAAATACTCTTCTTCAGCAGAGAGTTAACAGTCCTGAGAACTTATCAGACAGGAGTGTAAACTACAGACCACTGAGTCTGTGGCACAGCTGAACCAAAGAAATAACACAAACACGAGCATGTTTGCCTCGGTAGCTCTGCTTTCTGTCCTAAGTATTAAAAAAAAAACAAAACAAAAAAAACAAGACTTGAGTGTAAAAATAAATATCACTGTGGTAAATTTCTGCACTGCCTGCATTAAAGAAATGTGACATCACAACCAGGCCTGGGCAGCGTCGTCTGCTTTACTGTATAAATGTGCTTGTCTGTGCAGGTTGGGAGAGCCAGCTGTTGGAGACGGGCTTCCTGGCCGTCTTCCTGTGTCCGCTGTGGACTCTGTCCCAGGTTCCCAGCAGCTGTCCCCCCTCCCTCGTCTGCATCTGGACCTTCAGGTGGCTCATCGTTCGCATCATGCTGGGAGCTGTGAGTCAAAATCACTATTCAGTCCTTCAAATTGATCGATCGCGTGGAACTCCAATAAAAATCGCTAAAGTTTGTGTTTGTAATATGTAAAAAGTTCATGCAAACATTGAGCAGATGGAATCATTCTGGTGTTTGTCCTCCGAATTTTAAAGCGATACTTTGGAACCGCTGTCCTGCTCTAGCACTCTGCCGGTGTTTGGTAAAGCCAAGCCAAATATGTGATCGACTCAACAACACAGCGCCTCTTTTGTCAGATTTCACGGGGATTTATAGAGCACAGAGCTGGGGTTTATTTGACAAGTCGTCGCCACCAGCCGAGTGGGACTCCTCCCAGCAGGAGCACGGAGAAAACTCAACACCCCTCCACTTCGCTGAAACACACAATCTACTTCACATGTAAACTCATCGGTAAATTTAAGGTTCTCTTCCAGCCTAACCCTACTGAAGTCACGTCATATTTTAACGCTGTTCTGGTGGCGATGTACTCAATAATATCTATGGGGTTTTGCCTTGAAACTGTTCAGACTGCAAAGAAAGTGTCTGCAACAAAGTATCTGCAGCTCTGGAGTGAAACAGCTTGTTGCATCAGCAGCAGGCTGGGATGGTAGCAAAAGTATAGCAAAATGGCTTACTGAGTAATTCTCCAAATATGTTTGGTATGTTCTCAGACTAACGCTGGATTGTGACACGTCAGGCTCTACGTTTTACACATTTTCATTTTTCTTCTCCGTTTTTAGATTTTAAAGACCTAAGACATGCTTAGCTTTGCTTTCAATACAGCCGGCTGATCCAGATACAGTATTTGTCCCATTTAGAGTCGATAGTTGGTGTTTTAATAGATGATTTAAAAAAAAAATAAAAATCCTAGCTGATTATGAAAAATCTTGATTAGATATATACTGTACCTCGAAAATGTAGTGTTGCAACCCAAAGCTTCATTGTAACTCAAGGCTGTTTCCCTGACAGAGTTACACAAAATATGTAGTGTTTGTGAATAGGAACAAAAATCAATCAAAACATTAAAAAAATACAAAAATTTGAAAGGTATTGTGTGAATTTGTATGCAGTCGCCTTGCCTTTACTCTGTTAGCCATTAGGGGTTCGCTGACTGATCGTCCCCTAATTCCTTCGTTTTGGTTGATTAGCGATCAACCAAAACAGCCTTGAGCTGCACAGGACAGCGTAAAGGTGAGTTACACCCCTAAATCCAATTGAGAATCTTTGATTACAGTGAAGCCAGGCTCATGTTAGTAGCTTTATTACAAATTAACAGCGTCATGTTGGTTGAGGTTGAAACCTTTGCCAATTACTCAGTGTAAATGGAGCAGTTTCCATCGCATCATGCGGTTTATTTAAAGGCCTGTTATTGTATTGAAGACAAGACTAAATGTTTCTTTGGAAGGTGGTCCAATCCTAAAAACTCCTGCCATGGTGCCCTATTGGTGTCACATGCTGACAGATTAGATTATTCCATTAGTGACATCTCTAAGTCTTTTAGCCTCTAACGGGCTTCCTGCCAACATCGCCCGGTGTTGAGCTTTATCCATCTTCCCATAAACTCAGGTGAACTTTTGTGTCGCTTCTGAAGAAAATAATGTGAGTGTTATGCTATGCTAACATGCTAACCATGTGTCCCTGGTGTTTTCAGAGAGAAGTCCAATAGTATTCTACTATTAGAGGATAGTTGTGTAGGCTTAGGTCCAGCTATCTCTCTACCTGGTGCTCCATTTTTTTCAGTCCAGTTGTAACTAGTGAAATGTCTGCGTCTCATGACTGAAGAGGATAAACAGCATGATATTGGACCTCACCACCTCCACAGCCAAGCTCCTAATCAGAGAGAGACGTTCTGCTTTTTCCTAAATTCAATCAAACAGGTTAGCGGGCGCCTTACTGTGCATTCCGTGCCCAGCCACATGACCAACTGATGTGTCAATATCGGCGGTCTCGTGTTTTGGATAAGATGTTATTTCCTAAGCTGTTTGAATCGAAAACAGCCACACAAGTGAAGATGCCTTTATGAATCCCTAATTTGTTCATATAGTGCGAGTCTCGCAAACTGGGATCGGGTGTTTTGCAGATATTAGATGAGATCTGATGAGACTCTGTCCCATTGAAGATTGTACTGTCAGAGCGATGAGATGTCTTGTGGTGGTAGTTATGTCTCTTCCTACTTATGTGACTACAATTCACATTTCTGTGGTGACAGCACTTTCATTTGGTGGGAACGTATAAAGTCACATGTTTTGGTATATTGGAACTGCTCTTTTGGGTGAGTAGTGGTGTTTGTCATGGAGCTCAACCATGAAATCCTAACTGGAAACTGAAACCTTAGTATTTCCTGTGATCAAGTGTTTTTTGCAATCAGTCAAGGGTTTTTACCCCTGTGTCCTTGGGAATATGGTGGCAGTTGTTAATAGAGTCTGTGTTCTCCTCCCAGGTGGCGCAGCCACTGTTATATCTTGGAAGATTTAAGGCATTTGCCATCTTTTAGTGTCTTTTTCCTTGTTTTTGACAATGAGCTCATCTCTGACATTTTTGGATAATTTTCTTTGCTTAGGAAAAAAAAACCTCTGGTCTGCCTAAAAACCTAGTTTTCAGTTTAGTAAAAGTGAAATCTGATGCGGTTCGAAAGCCAAGAGGACCAGGAACCCTTCCAAAAGCAGGAAGCAAACTATAGCACAGTGCATTCTGGGTGAATGCTACCAAATCCAATGATGGAGTCTAATACTAGTGGGAGAAATGGCTCTTGGTCTTTTGCTAAAAACAAAAGGGAAATCCTATAAAAGCTAAAATCTGACGCCACGCCACTATATTACGCAAAGAAGCAAGTTGTGATCAGTGTCTTCTTTTTGTGTCATTTCCATCTGTGGTTCTTAAAGTAGCGCCACCACAGATGAGGAGGTGAACAAGTTTTTCAAAGGGTTTGCTTCGTTTGACAGAGGCAGTGTGAAAGCAAAACACACAAAATGATAATGTAACAATTTTGGTCCACAGTCAAACAGAGTCTACCAGACTATCAGATGTGAAAAGACTTTCAATGTTTAATTTGAATAAAGCCCATGTAATATTAGTTTTTATTTCGTATTCAAGCTTCCAGCTGTGACTTTAGGATGATGTCTAGTTGTTTTTCACATTGAGTTCAGTGATTGGTTTCTCTCTTTGTTCAGGGCCTCATTAAAATCAGAGGAGACCAGTGCTGGAGAGACCTGACCTGCATGGACTACCACTATGAGGTGACTCTTTATTTATTCCACTAAGTCATTGCACAGCAGTTTATATAATATTGCGATGAGATTTGAAGGCATGCTTTTACTTATTAAAATAATTCAATCAATATTTTTTTGTAATCTTATTTTGTTTCATTTTGTGTTTTAAAATATTTTCTAAAGTGAATAAAAAGTAATAAAATAGTTTCCTGGGCTTTCAGTCACACCCAGGCAGCTCACATTTCTGCTCAGTCATGATCTGTCCACACCATCCTGGTCTCAGATGGAGGAAGAGTGCCTTCTGTAATGATCGAACACATGACTGGAGAAAATACACACAAGGCCAAAGGCATGATATCAGTTGTATCATTATGAAAGATTGTTGCTTTATTGAACATGTTAATTACATTAAATGTATCTCAGTTAAAACACCCATGCCTGTTTGTTTTGCAAGTTTTGATGTACTATAATGCACAAATGTTTTGCAATTCAACTCTCTGGGGACTGCGCATGTTTAGGCCAGAAGTCAACGGATGAGTGTAGCTTTCTAAAACTTAAAATTGTATTCAAAGCAACACGGTCAGAACTCATGATGGACAGCTTCACTGGTTCCTTCTGAGTGAAACAAAATGAATCTTTTATATCTGTCACGTAGCAGAAAAACTTTTGAACGGTCTTGTTGCTTTGTGAATTTTATGCCTTGCTGGGTCAGTTTCCTTGGTCCAATTTCAGCTTTCGACACCCTGAGTGCTAATGTTGATTTACACACACGCACACACGCATTCTAAGACCGGAAGGCCATGGCGCCAGCTGACGCCGCGTTAACCCCTTTGGCACACTGCTCCCTTTCAGACCTGCAGTGGGACTGCAGGTTTCCTCCTGACCCAACTCTCAGGGGTTACCGTGGCGATGAATTGCAGGACAGTTAGTACTTTGTTCATTCAGGGTGGGTTGTCATTAACGCACCATGTGGAGATTTAGGTCCCTCACCTGTTAAATAATCCAAAATTTTCTTGCGTTTTATTCAAAAATACAATAAAAGTATTGATCTGTTTGACAGCTGCATAATCTTTTTTTTTCCTTTCCATCTATATTTGTGCTATGTTTATTTTTCCTGACCTAACCCGTGTCTGTTTGCCTGTTCAGCCAAAGCACATTTTGCATGGACAAACACTGAGAAACCTCTGAGTGTTTGCCTGGGTGAAGGTGCGGCCGCCTTCATTTAAATAAGGTTCCATCTTTATTTAGTCTCGGAAAAGTTCTCCTCGAGGTGTGGTGCAGAAATGACTCCCCTGACTCACTCTCAGTTGAGCGCCAAAGCAAAGCAGTGAAATCTTCCATCCTTAGCGTCAGCACTCCTCACAGATTGAACTTGTTGGCTGTAAACTTTCTATTGATCATGCACTGAGTCACCATGACCAATTTTCGTAGAGCTCTGACCTGCCAGTATCATTTCTTTTTTTTTTTTTTTTAATAATTAGCTAAGTACATCTTACAGAGACATGTCTGATTGCCTTGTAAATATCTCTAAATATCTTTCGACAACATAAATTAGGTTCTCTCCTTTTGTCCTTTACAAGACCAGATTGTAGTTTACCATTGTTATAATGGAGACCTAAGCAGTTTTCCTGTGAATGATCATAGTTTATTCACATTAGGACCAGAGGCGACATCACACTGTGTGAGCAGCAAAATAGAATTTCTCTGTACTTGAGGTTAAAAAGATCAGTCAACATTGTAAACTCTCTAGCATATTTCATTAGCATTTAGCACAGTTGGGACTAATCTCAAGCATTAGTTTGTGCGTTTATTTCTTGTAAGGTGAGTAAATCTGAGATTAAAAAAAAAAACGGCCAATATTTTCTCACCCAACTTGTTTTGTGACAGATAGTTGGAGGATACAATGAAGCGAGTTCCTGTTGTTTGCTTGAGGCGTGAGATTGTCATACAGTAACAGTCACAACAATATTTAATTTCACTCTGAGATAAAGTATGATTGAGCCTAAGAGTATTGAATTGAAATGTGTCTCCAGACCCAGCCAGTGCCAAACCCCATGTCCTACTACATGCACCGCTCTCCGTGGTGGTTCCACCGCTTCGAGACACTGTCCAACCACTTCATTGAGCTCATTGCTCCCTTCTTCACCTTCCTGGGTCGGCAGATGTGCATGGTGAACGGAGCCATCCAGATTCTTTTTCAGGTAACACACATTCAGTGTGTGTTTTTTTGTTGTTGTTATTTGTTTAACTGTACATTGTACCCACTCTGTTCTGTGGCTTTTGTTTCCTCTATCACCCCTTCCTGGCCTGCAGGTAGTCTTGATCATCAGTGGGAACCTGAGTTTCCTCAACTGGCTGACCATTGTTCCTAGTTGGGCCTGCTTCGATGACGCATCGCTAAGCTTTCTGTTTCGCTGCGGCTCCAGAGCTAAGGAAGCGGTGCTGGAGATCCAGAAGAGGAAAGTGACCGGACAAGCCCCCAAACCCACAAAAGGTGTCTTTAGACTTCTTTTTTTAATTATTATTTTGTATAATATCCAATAGATGCCAGAAAAGGCAGTGTGTTTGGCCATGGTGGAAAGAGAACTACAGTAAAATACAGTAGAAATGAGTAAAAGGGATCAACACTACGAAAAATTATTTAAATTTGAAGGATTTTTTTTTAATAGAGCAGGCTGTCATGAATGTAAAAAAACCCCACTCTTCTATAACTAGACTTATTGCAGATTTACTGTTTTTACTTTATTCAGTTTAAAATGAGCTTGTTGCTGTAGGTGGGAACTTGTTTTAATAACTCAAACAGAGCCAGAGTGGGATTTTGTAGGAATAAAAACAGTTTCTGTGGATTATACAGAGGAGTTGAACATGCAGGAGTGGGAAAGAACCAACATAAACTTGACCACTGCTTTGTGTCACTGTAACATTCTGCCAGGCCATCAAGATTCAGACCCAGCAATGATAAATGTTCCCGTTTTCCATTGTTGGACTTTCATTCCCACAAGACACCCTTGATATGCTGTGTTAACACACACCCTCTGTGTGTGTGTTAGGCATGTTGATACGGCAGGTGGTGAACATTTCTTTGGGTGTTCTCATTGGCGTCCTGAGCGTGCCAGTGGTGATGAACCTGTTGAGTCCACGGCAGGTGATGAACACTTCCTTCGACCCGTTGCGTATCGTCAACACCTACGGGGCTTTTGGAAGGTACAGTTTGGAGGATTTCATTACATGACCAAACATGAACACTCCAATTTGAAGACAGGCCAAGTTTATTTGTATAGAACATTTTAGCAACAAGGCAGTTTAAAGTTCGTTATGCCGTAAAAATATTATACAGTCACCAATCATGAAACAAGAAATAAACAGTTTGTGAAATGCCATTATCAAGCAAGTATACATCAAATATATTGATCAGTGTTCCAGTTATGAATCAAAGGCAACTCTAACCAGGTGGGTTTTTGGCCTTGATTTAAATGATCTTGGTGTTTTGGGAGTTTTGAAGTTTTCTAGACATTTGCTCCAGATTAGTGGAGCGTAGAAACATAATGTTTGGTTCTGGTTGTGGTGATGCAGAGTGGACTAAAACCAGGAGACCTGTGTGGTCTGGAAGGTTGCTACAAGGACATGTCTTTAATGTAATTTGGTGCTGCTAAACTCTTAGGAAAGGGGCATACTTTATTTAAAGTGAAACCCATCTTTATCTCATTTAACCTTTTTGTTTCTCTATCCTCTGGGAAGCATCACCAAAGAACGGACTGAGGTGATCTTCCAGGGAACTCTGAGCCCAGATCCCAAAGACCCTGAGGCGGTTTGGGAGGAGTACCAGTTCAGGTGTAAGCCAGGAGACGTGTACCGACGGCCCTGCCTCATATCGCCCTACCACTACCGGCTGGACTGGCTCATGTGGTTCGCTGCCTTCCAGGTGTGATAACTTCTACCTTTCAATAGAAGTTACTTTTCTGTGCCAAGTCTGGAATAACACTGTGTTTGCGCAGACCTATGAGCAGAGCGAGTGGGTCATCCAGTTAGCTGGACGCCTGCTGGCCAACGACAGCACTGTCCTCTCGCTACTCGACCACAACCCCTTCCAAGGCAGAGACCCCCCCAGGTAAACACACATGAGCATCACCAGCTTTGCTTTCAGAATTCACTTGTAAATCGAGCTATCTCTGCTGAGCAGAGCACTTTTTGTCTTAGGGCTCCCCCTGGTGGAACAAATAACAAATTGTATATATAATACAAATTTAAATTAAAAAGGAAATAATAATTTAAATGTTGTTTGCAGTTATTGTTAATAAACCTCATTTGCTTTTGCAGCTCCTATTTAAATCTTTATCTTGGATTTGGGATCAAAGTTCAGCTGTTATTTGAGCTTTTGAGATTCTAATCAGCTGGTTCCAGTTGCAAAAACAAAAAACACCTTGGTGACATGGTTGTGCAACAGAATTATCTGAAGGTAAAAGAGTAAGAGCAAAACTCCTTCCAGCTCTCCAACATACAAAACCAGAGGGAATAATTGTCCTTACAAGCAATTCCTCAACCACAAAAATGATTAAAAGTCTATACAAAGGACTAAGGTAACAGAGAAACTGCAATGGCACAATTCTAGAAGAGAATAAAATACTCTAAAATATGATAACTCCAACAGTTATTATTGTATTGCAAACAATTTTTGGGAAAAGGGAACATTACCTGTTTGCTCCACAGCGGAAATCAAAAACATAATTAGATCGGTGACCGTTCTATGCTTCTGCTTTGTCAGATGGGTTCGAGGAGAACACTTCAGGTACAAATTCTCTCAGCCGGGCAGCGCCAGCGCAGCACAGGGCAAATGGTGGCTGAGAAAACGCATCGGAGCCTACTTCCCTGCCGTAGACCTGGAAGGACTCAGAGGCTACTTCCAGTCCAGGAACTGGCCTCACCCACACATCCCACCAAGCAGGAGCTGAAGTCAAACGGGATAAAAAATAAGTCATTTCAAAGCAGTTTGGAGCCAAGGTTACACTTTATGCAGATGACATCAGGTTTCTCAAGAACTGCTTGATGAAGTTTTCTGACTCAGAACACCAGTACAACTATTCCAGGGGTGTCAAACTCCAATCCTCAAGGGCCGCTGTCCTGCAGTTTTTAGATGTGCCACAGGTACAAAACACTGGAATGAAATGGCTTAATTACCTCCTTCTTGTGTAGATCAGTTCTCCAGAACCTTGCTAATGACCTAATTATTCTATTCAGGAGTCGTACAGCAGAGATGCATCTAAAAGTTCTAATAACACTGGCCCTTGAGGACTGGAGTTTGACACCTGCGAGCTATTCCCAATCAATGTGAAGGTTTCGAAGCTCTCAGTTTTAAACGAATAAGTTCTACAAACGTCCTGAGGACACCTGAAAGTAAATGTACCAACCGGTTGAAAATGTAAAAAAGGAAAATCGCCACCATGACAGCGGTCAACTTGTTTCATTTTCTCACCAAGTCTCTGTGGCTTCCTGCCTGTTTTTTTTTTTTTTTTTTTGTTTTTTAAACTAGCTTTAGCTTAGCTGGATTTTGAGAGTTGAGCCACATTAGCATGCTATCTTTGACCAGAATACAGTGTCAAAACAAGCTCAATTTCACTGGAGCACATGCGTAAGAAAATAGCAAAAAACACTAATGACGTCTCCTTTGTCAAGACATTTTCAAATCTAAATATTTTTCTTTAAAAAATCTCAAATACACAGGAGAAATATTTGATAGACTGAAAAACCTGTTTTAATACATTTGGACAAAATAGTGTTGAAAGTAAGATGTGCAAAATTTCTACAGCTGAAAAGTTTTTCCATCTTCCGCTGAGATGTACTTTTTCTTCTTCTCAAGCACTTCTATTAATAAAGAATGAGATGTAAATGTCTTCCAGGAGTATTTTCCGGCATGGTGGAGCACCATTTCGCACAACAAAATGTGAAAACTATGTTTCCAAGATCACAACAATTCAGACAATGTGTTGTCAAAAGCAGATTAACCAAAAGTATCCAACAAACCTGATCAACTCTGAGCTCTGATGACAAGAATGGGTCATCATAAGTCAATACTTGGTCCAGAACCTGCAGTAGGGAAAACTTGAGTTGAAGAAATTTTAAAGAAGAAACATAAGCACTGTAAGTGTTAATTATTTGCATAAATTTTAAGAATTTACACATGAAATCCTTAAAATGTATACAAAGTTTGAATCAGCCATCATTAATCCACTGAGACATGGAGAAAAGACTGAAAAGCCACAGAACAGACACTGCAGTACCAAACAAAAAGACCAGCAGATGGTGCTGTTACTCCAAACACCAAGTCTTATCGGCCCCCTGCTGAACCTCTACAGATAAAAATATGTGGTTAGAATATTTTTCAGGAACAGCTCAAGTACAACCAAGCATCAAGCCTGTCACAAACTGGAAGATGTTGGACAACCATTCTCACTGAACACAGGGAAGAACGTCTTCCTTCACACACGGAAAAGCCAGATGTCTTCTGGAGAAAAACTTTATGGAGAAACCTAATTTTGGACTACTTAACCTTTATGAGAAAAAGAATGAGATGGGTGTGAATACAACTGTAAAGGGGAGCTTCATGCTGAGGAATTGTTTCACTGGGGTTTAATTAAAAAAAAAAGAATCGACAGTGGAAGTTGTTAAATCCTCTTCATTTCTTGTCCTCACTCCCTTAGTTTGGTCCTTCTTAACTCTTTCTGTTTCCTTTCTTTTTACCTTCCAAAAAGGAAGGCAACAACATATCATATTTCTGTCCTTGCCTTACATCTTTCTCTCCTATTTCCTTGTGTCCTTCTCCTTTCCTTTATTGCATCCTACCCCTGTTCTTTCTTTCTCCTTTGTCTTTCTTCCTTCCTTATTATTCCTTGTGCCACCTCCTTCCCCTTGTGGCATGCCTTGTTTCTTCTATGTACCCTCTCTTTTTCATACCCTTATATCCTTACTTTCTTCTTTTCCTCTCCTTCATTTATCCCCTTATTCCTTCTTTGTGTCCTTTTCTCCTTTCTTGCATTCTACCCCCTTCATTCTATACCTTTCTTCTACCCTTGCGTCTTTGTTCTACCTCTCTTTCTTACATTATTTCCCACCTCCCCTCCATTAATGGCCCTTCTTTTCTTCCTTCCCCTGGATACTTCTTCCTTCTTTGTACAAACGTTTACCATGTATTAATAGAGATTTTATTATTTTATATTTTATGGTGAATGCAAAGGTTGTGATTTCTGGAAAGTTGACTTCACCCTGAGCTTAACAAATCATGTCTGTCCAGATAACAGATAAATGTGTCTTTGTGAAGGTGTTCCAGCATGTTGAATAAATTCCCCGGAGAATGAAAAGCCTTTTACTGCACAGTCTATTTTTCACGACAACGTCCAGTACAATTTATTTCTCAGTATCAGCTGAGGATCCTAACTGTTTTTAGCAAAAAGAAAGAGACCTTGAGAGTCTCGGTTACGTTAACAAGCAACCATTGTAATTTCTCAGACACTGCTGTAGAGCATTATGTGCAACAGCGAGAAAAACTGTACTGTTTGCTTTTAACATCTATTGACATAGGAGCAGACTTTTCTTTACTGCCATGAACGCCTTGGTTTTCTGTTGTTCATTTTGGCCATTTCTCAACTTTTTTGCCAGTAGGACACTACTTTATGTTCACCTTGAACATTTCACATGGATAGAACGTACAGATCTTAAACTCTCTTCTCTTTGGATCTCAGGTTTTTCTATAGGATGTAGACCCTGTGAACTGGTCTGGCTATGGAAGAAAGCTGTTTTTTGTGCCTGGTGAACACTTTCTGTGGCCATATGTTTCTGCTAAAACTCCAGATGGCCACCCATTTTCAGTTTTCTGTCAGCAGCCATCAGACTTTTATTTAAAATGTGCTGAAATATGAAAGAGTGCCATGCAGTCGAACAGGGTTCTCAGGACATTTTGAAGAGAAACAGGCCCACAGCATCTTACATCTCCCACCATAGTGAGCCTCTTAATTTATTCCTGAATTTATTTGCAACTATATAAACTAAAAGGTTTCTCGTTGTCTAACAGATTCTCAATTAAGTTGGAATTTTTCATCTGAATACATCCATCCGTTGTCCATACCCATTGGGTAACTTCAGAGCAGGTGGCCGTCCCCAACGGTCATTGAGTGGGAGATGGGGTACACCTTTGAGATATTGCAGTGCATCACTGGGCAATAATTTGAATATGCAAACTGCCTAATTTGGGGATAACTTTGACTTATGTGACATATTGCTTCCAATAGGTTCCTTTTCATGTGCAGCAGATGCATATTAGTGATGGTAACCTCTGATTCACCCTAAACCCATCTGGAATGTTCTTTGCCAAAGGCTTGATCTTAGTTTTCCCAAAGCACACAATCTCAGAAAAGATTATCAAGTTCCACATGTTTATATTTGGGATGGTAAGTCATGAAAGGCTTTATTTGCATAACTAATTAGCACGTGGTTGATGCCCAGAAGATAGTTATGGTCCACTAGTTAGAGATGACACATTCTGATCAACTTCAAGTATAAATAAATACATTTTAAGGGATACAACTGTGTGTTTTTCTTTTTAAATGTTATTTAAACAATTTATTTATACTGCTATAAATAAAATAACACTTTTTTCTTACCGTAAAAGAGTCAAGTGAGAAAAACGACTTTACACCAAAGCTAAATGGGCAGCGTTCCTCGGTCCGTTTGCTTGGAAGTCTGTCTTTCTTGCAGAAGCAGTCATGGATGGGCGTGTATGCTCCACTTCGTGTTTTGAAGCTCATTGGGTTTGATACATCAGTCGCACAGCCAGGGTGTTTTTAATAGCCTCGCCTCCAAACTGATCTGCATGCTTGTTTGCTGCGATCCCCGCCTCCAGACTGCAAATCAATTTCCTTGTAGCCTTTCCATCAGGTTTTTCCTTTATGGGGACTTTGATGGTTTGCTTACTGATTGCACACTCTGTCACACCACTATCTATTCCAGGCCCCCACCAACTGTGTAGCATGTCGCAGACATTTCTCACCGTCCACCAATTTAGTTTTGAGATATTTCCAGTTGGGTTGATGTTAAAGCAAACATGCCAAGATTAGAAAAGATTACAGAAAAGGGTCCCACGAGGAAACTCTGTCCTCAAGAATAGACATCAAACTGCATCAAAAGTTTTGAAAGAAAATGATGTTCTGCAGATTTTGCTTCAAAGTAGCAATAAAACATGCACGCAGTGTAGATCTCAGAAGAATGAGTCTGCCGTGCTGTGGACAGCACATCCTTTGTGCTCATGGTTACAAAAATGGCATGTGGAGCATGCATTAATGGGTTCCTAAAAGATGTGAGCCAACTGCCTAAAACTTGGTGACATATGCTATATTTTCATGCAGGCTGGAAGTTGGCCCAAGGCCTTTATAGACAGACAATTTTTTTCACATTTTGTCACGTTGCAGCCACACATTCCACCCCCTTTTAGTCAATACGTTCTTGTAGTGGAAGTCTTTTGGGGGCATTTCTGCACATATAGATACTAAAACCTTTACCCACTCTGCAAAATAACTCGAGCTCATTCAGTCCAGATGGAGAGTTAGACTAAACCTTTAGGTTCATTATCATCTTAAAAATTGACGTTTAATTTTAGTTGCTCAAAACTGTCGGGTGTATTGAAATTAATTAATTTGACCATTGTGCACTGATAAATGCCTAATTTATCTGAAAAGGTTGAAGTCATTTTTATATTCATTAGACAGAAATATACAAAGGGTTTTAAAAAAACTATATTTTATATAAATAATGTTAGTTTTGATAATTATGGCTCATTGTATTTTCTACCATTTTTTTCTTCCATTCAACTTTCCATAGTGCTTGGATACACGGTAGACTTGTTTTTCAATGGCTTTAATGACCTACTTTCCTTGCTTTGGAATCTGCTGGACAGCTGTTAAGTCAGAAGACTTCTCTATGATCTTGTAGGCCTCAGCATAACATTTCACTAAAAAAGTCTTCTTTAAATTGATATGAAATATTTTATTTTTCTGGAAAACTGGATTTTTAGATTTTCGTTAAGTCTTAATAAAATAAAAAATGAACGAGTTAAGACGTTAAACTAAATTACGAAATTAAAGGCAAGTCTCACTCGGGACGCTATTAATGATAGAACCACCTGCTTTGATGATGAGTAGGATTGATTTCGGTATTCTGAACTGCATTAATCGGTTTTCTTAAAAAGCCAAAACATATTTTTGGCTCTATGTAATGTTAATGTGATTTATTAACATTAAGTTGTTAGTGTTATTGTTATGATTATTTTAAGTCTAGTCTTTCGCATCGAGACGAAAGCAACACGCTGCGAGACAGCGCGAGCGTAAACAGTCCTCAGCTTTCTCACATCCAGCTGCACCAGCGGGACAACAGCCGCCCCTCCTCAGAGCCAGAGCGCTGACGCTTTTCTTCTTTTTTTATTTTACGCACAGCCATGATTCTGACGCACAGGTGAACTTCTCTTCCCTCAACCGCGCAGCAGCAACAACTTAACGTGGAGTAAAGTGTTTTCCTCTCTAACCAACCCGAAACTTCACGCGCTCCTCACTTGAAAAGCTTAAAAGTTGAACTCAGAGCCATGTCCAGGAAGAAGGCAGCGAAGGGCAAAGGGACCTCCAAGAGCCCAAAGGCGTCTCCGAGCAGCGGGCGGACGGCGAAGGGTCTGGCCGCAGCCGGCGCTCCGTCCTCGGCTCTGGTCTACCCGAGCAGACCGTCCATCAGCAACAGCGGCGAGTTTTACGACATCGCTTTCAAGGTAAGCAGAGCTGGCATTTTGAACGCCTCCCGAAACGCTCGTGCCGGTGAACCTGCCAGTCAGAGAAAGCACGTGCAAGTTTTCCCAGCTGCAAATTCCACTAATTCAGCTTCACGCGGGCTGCTTTAATTCTGTAATGCATCGTATACCTAAAAAAAAGTGAACTACAGTGCGTAAGTGAGATTTTATTAGCGATTATTTGAAAGTTTCACAGTATTTTGGTAACATATGGGAGCGTATGTGTTGTACACAAAAGTAAAATACGAAGGGCTTTGAAAATGAACAAAAACAAGTTGCATTTTCGACGCATTCTATGTGGTAATTGTCGGTTACTGTCAATATTTTTGAAGAAATACATTAAAATAGTTGTTTTCACATCCTCTGAACGTCTTTTACAGTGCTTGTAAACCTAAAACGGCCAGTAGTCTTTGTTTGGGATGCGGGTTGTCTATATAGTTTAATATTTGTGTAGTGCGCCACAGTCCAGTGCAATAACCCAGAGGAGATGATGGAGACAGGTTTCTATAATTAATGAGATCAATTAACTGCAGAGCAGGATGAGGCTTTTGCTGGAGCAGGAGTCCAGCTGATAAAATGTTTATTGCACCTACACACCCTGCAGTAGTAGAACATAATATATCTTTGAAGTTATCATCATTAAAGCATACATATACACAAATTAGATGGAATATTTTAATGCTGTAAGTGAGGTTCATGACTGTATTTTATAATTCAACTTTGACCTGAATTGAGACATTTAGCAATGCATTCTATATTGTTTAACAAAGCAAGAAAAATTAAATGGTAACTTTTTTTGTTGTTGTTGTTAAATGGAGATTTTGACCAAAGATGAGTTGGCCTGGATTGTTTCTAATCCAAATGGATGTTTTCAGTCTTTAAACGCATAAAAGAAGAACAAGCATTGTGAAATTCATACAAAATCAAACAATCCTATGCATTTTTTTTACGCTAATGCACAATTGTGAGATTATTCTAAATTTAATATATTGGGTTTAAGTGACATTGCTATCTGCAGGTAGCAGTGTTTCTTACTTCTTTTCCACAAAAACATTGTCCCAATGGAGCTCAGTGCTGCCCCCTATAAGTGCAACAGAGTACTTTCTTCCTCAACATGTGCATTTTTATTATGTATTTTTGGCCAATGAGAAGATCAATTCAGTTTATTCATATAGCACATCATCAGAAGGCACTTTACAAAAATCCATCCAATCATACACACATTCCAGAAAAAGACTGTGACTCACATTTATTTAAAAGTGGATAAAATGTGTAATCAAACATGCATATTGGTGATATAAAGAGAAATGGCAATGGACATGTGTGACACAGAGCCACAAGAGGTGAGGCAAAGCACACCATTGCCTCGCCTCGCCCTGCTTCCAACTATCTGAATGAGCAAAGTCAGCAATTTTGACCATAAAAATGATAAAAATCATTCAGGAAACAACTTTCTAGAACAGTCTAGTGGGCATATTGATTGTTCTCTTGTCATTGTTGGCATTTGACTTGTCATAGTGACTCACCTCCCCTGATTGCACCTCACTGCACTAATGGAAAGCCAAATCAGAGGCTTGTGTTGAATTATGTCCAGTTCCTGAATAACTTGGATTCCTTTTAATTCTTTGGAAGTGCGTTATCATCACAGTGCGTACGATTTTTGTTTCTTAATTTTTTGTTTTATTGACATGTTTTGCCATGATACAACCACAAACTCTTAAGGCAAAATGACTAATAATGGTGATTGATGTGGGTTTCTCCCAGAAAACCTGCCAAGCCCAGTGGTTAGGGGCACTAGGGCAGTCCACCACTACTGCGTTTTTGTGTTGAAAAATATGGAGGTGCATTATAATTTGGAAGAAAAAGCGTGTGAGGCCAACGGGCAAGTGCAAGGACGATGCAATTCATTGCATCAGCTACAAACCGAAAGACTGGTGAATAAAAAAACCCTGTTTAAAAGTACACAAATGACACTTAGCCTGGTGGAGGGCTAGTAAAGCCTGGTGGCCCACCAGGCTTATATTACCCTATGGCTCTACATAAATCACTTCATAGGCTGAGGCAGACTTAGAAAAGCTGAATGGAAATGCAGCAGTTTTAGAATTTTGTTTGCAAAAGTTTTACACCATGTATTATTTTCCTTCTACTACAAAATTATAAACTACTTTGTGTTGAAATCCCAGTTAATCACATTGAAGTTTGTGGGCTGACATGACAAAATGTGGACATTTTCAAGGGTAAGGATACTTTTAGTAGACACTATGCTATAAATAAATGTAAAAGGTTTGAGGGCCAGTTTTATTCTAATGCTAATGCTCTACTGCTCTCAGTCTGCAGTCTCCACATGCTTTAGACCAAGCCGTGCATAAAAGGATGTAATTACTGTTAAATGCATGCAGTTAAGCAGTTCACAGTAGCTTTCCAGTGTGATGCAAAGATATGTTGAACCTACAAGTGTTCTTTATATTTAGGTTTTTTGAATTTATATTGGACTCTATAGAGCTTCCATTCAAACATTTATGTAAATGTTTCACACAAAACCACTGTCGGTTTCCTTTTTATGACAAAAACTGTGAGTTGAACAATGCCTGTTAGGTCACACCCAACGGTAAACATATTTTCTTAATCCATGCCACCATTAGTGTTTTAATAGACAGAGTGTTTCTTTTGTGTTTACACCAACAGAAACATGTTGAAAATATGAGATGTCAGTCGTATAACACGAGGAACAACTGAGATGTGGACTGCATGTGAACAAAGTGATATCTGGGAACTTTATCGACCGATGATGTCGACAGTGTTACTTTTCTAATATATGAGCAGGGCTTAAGAGATTTAAATATTAAACACTTAATAGATTAAGCGATGGATAATCAGGAACGACGGACCACAGCTGGAGACCGCCGAGGTAATTAGAATTGTAAAATGCAAATGGAAGACTTAATCATAACCAGCTCTGAGGAAATGTCAATCCAATCTTCCGTCACTCTGGCACGGACAGCCCGTCTCTGCATCAAAGCGACACATTTGAAACTGTTAACTGTTTTAAATGTTGCATCTAATCACTGGAAATGAATGATTATATTTAAATTTCATCAGGTGGATAACCATATGCTGTGTTGTTTCTGCTTTAGGTGATGCTGGTGGGGGATTCAGGCGTGGGAAAGACCTGTCTGCTGGTCCGCTTTAAAGACGGAGCCTTTTTAGCCGGCAGCTTCATCTCCACCGTCGGCATCGATTTCAGGGTATGCACTCACACACGCTCACATGAAGACATTCTGAAGGTCAATGTGTTCAGAGGTAATCACCTTTGGATGCTTCTTTTACAATGCCATGAAAAACAACTGGTGGATTTTGAAGGTTTCGGTATTTTGTCATGTTACAACCACAAACATTCATGGATTCTATGTGACAGATCAACAACTCTTGCATAAAAAATGTCGTGGTTTTCAATTTTGTTTTACAAAGACAGATCTGAAAATTACAACAGGCTTTGCTCAACTACTGTTTTACTTTCAAGTCTTGCCATGTTGTAGTTCTTGCTGTATGTTGAGGTTCCAACTGGACGGTTAATCTCTACCTCGGTCTCAATCGTTTTGCAGCTTCTGACAGGTTTTTTTGGGACTGGCCTTATTTGACTCTGCTGGCCTTATTTGACTCCAACCAGCTTCCCTGTTGATGCATTCCCACAGTATGATGCTGCTAGCCACGTGTTTCACTGTGGAGACGGTGTGATGTGCTACAGTAGTTTTCTCACACATTGCAAGTTCAGTTTTTTTTTTTCAGTTTTTTTTTTTCTTCTAATCTTATCCCTGCATCAAAAACATACCTGGAATGTTGCTTTGATTCTTCCATGCATGTTTCGAGGAATCCTTTAGCTTCCTGTGGCAACCATTCAGCTCTGCTAAACGCCAGGGTGGACATGGCTCTGCCTTCGAAAGCTGCAATTTCGAAGTGACTCCTTCAATCAACTCCTTCAGACTAGCAGAAGCAATTGGCAAACACCTGGTGGAACTTCACATCTGCTGAGTTCTTCATACGAGCTGTCAGTTCAACGCTGGTAAACCCCCTCCCTCTCTATAAAAGAATACAAAAATCTATTCACATGAGTGGAAAAGG